AGGAGATGCCAATCCCCTTATGCGATTGCATATTGAATGTATATGAATTTTATATGTTAATATTATCTTTAAATGAGTTTTTATTTAAAAAGAAAAGAAAACTACTCGTTGTAATATTGCTTGCCGTCATCCATTTACTCAAATATAAAGATTTTAAATGAAATTAAAATCTGAAAAGAAATTAACTCTCCAAAATAAAAATAAATCCAAAGTCAAATCAATAAATAAATAAATAATAAACAACACTCACTCATTTTACTTCCACATGATATATATTAATAAAAAATTCAGTTAATTCTATAACAATGGACAGCTAAGCTGTTTGCGACCGATCATATGAGAGCATATATCTTTAATAATAGAAGCAAATATGGTTGTTAAATATTATTGGTCAAGAAATATGGTTGTTAAATAAATACAAGCTTCGCATCAAGTTTTGTCGTCTTCCATAGAATACTTTGATAAAGTTATATATATAAAAAAGTCTAAGCATAATTCTATGTCTTTGTTATTATATTTTTAATAATAATATGATAATTAGATAATAATTCTATCATATCATCGACGATCATCCCCTTGATCCTGTTTGGTGGTCCATCCATATTCATTGGATAAGAATCAATCGCAAGATTGACACTAAAGTGAAAAAAAAAAAAAAGGTGTGCTGAGCAATGGAAAGTTTTGATTAGAAAAATCATTTCAACTTTATGAATAATTATATAATAAGCAATAATTGCAATCATTAAAGTTTAATTTACGCTTTTTACTGAGAAAGTTTAATTCTGTGTGTGTGTGTGTGTGAAGCCAAGATAGTTTATTTTCTATAATCTATAAATTGTGAAATGAAGCTTCAACAAATTAGTGATTTCACGTAACATTAATTAATTCTCAAAGCCTTCAAGCTTATTAATTTGCATCTTTTATTGCAATAAATATCGGACAAAGACACTGAAGAGCCTGATAAATCTACATGTTTGATGGTATGAAGTTTTTTAATCTTAACATTTATACTTTATTTTATCCTCCACCATGTTTACTTTTCAAAGTGGGATCAGGAAAACGCATATATTTTTAATCTATGGTCTCGTCTCAACCTCTTTAATTACATTAAAATTAAAATTAAAGGAAAAATATAATTTTTTTCCTAATGTAATTATATTGTTGCAAAATACTCCCTTCACTCCTTGATATAAGAAAAATTTAATATTAAAAATAGCAGTTATATTATTAAAATTTTTAAAAAATATATGTAACTTTTAAATTTTTCCCTTTTTAATTTTCAATTTAAGCATTGAAATCATAATAAATAAATAAAGGATGAAATTTAAAAATATTTGTTACTCTAATTTTATTTTATCCTTCACCATGTTTCTTTTTTATAGGTGAGATAAGTAGAGATATAATTTTTAATCTATGATCTCGAGTCAAACTCTTTAATTACATTAAAATTAAAGGATTAATTTTTTTTTTTCCTTTTTGGGTTCTAATATATGAAACTTCTAACTATGTACTTCATTAGAATCAAGAAGAAGTGGATAAATCATTAAAATATCCTCCACTTTTTTTATACATAATGACTAATATATAGATCATTATTATATATTATTGTTTAGAAGATGAAAAACATATAATCACTCGGTCTCTCAAAATGTGGTAAATCAAGATTTGAACTTTCACAGAAAAAGATGTTCATATTTAGCACCCAACCATGTTTCAAAATGAATTAAACCAGTACGCAATAAAAAAATACAGAAATGGGGGGTTTTTAGACGTCCATTTTTTTAAGGGAAAAAAAAAACAAGTGTTGTATAAGAATTTACATAGGAAAAAAATAACAGTTAGGTCTTGAAATATTGAATTAATATCAGCAAAGTCCCAATAGATTTTTGTTTTGAAAACTAAGTTAAAAATATCAATCCAAATTATTACAAATTCAGGAGTTTCAATTGTAAATAAGTATTTAAATATTAAATATAATTTTTATATTGTAATAAAAAAATTTATTTGTAAATATTTAAATAGATATTTATTACTCATTTTTTAAATTTTTTTGAGAATTTAATTATTATTAATTTATTTTTTTAAAATCTAAATGTCATTCTCCCTTTACATTGACAAACTGTTCAGCACACCCAAAAAAAAAAAAAAAAGTGATTGGCTTGCTTTTGCTTTCTTCCTCAACACTCTTTCTTTTACTTTTCCACACAGAATGAGTGAAGAAGAGACAAGGACGGACGGATCAATTGTTAAACTTTGGATTCACTCTTTACTTCTTTTTCGAAACAGCCAACGACTGTAAACAATGAGTCAACAACTACTTTAAATATATATATATATATATATCCATTGTTCTTGTAAAACTAGAGGAAATTAAGAAGCTAATTAAGCTGCTTTTTTAATTAATCAAAGACAGAACTATCATATATTATAGGACTATAATTATTAAAATTAAACGTTAATATTTTTTATTTTTTTTGGACGAATGATTTTTTTTAATTTTCTTTAATTAAAAGAAGAAGATAAAAAACATTATACATTTATTAAAATTATTTTTTATCCTTTCTTTATAAATTTCATGCAATAATGCTGGGGACCAAGGGACCACGTACATATAGTCTTATTCTGTATGCCTTCTAGCTAGCTTATTTGGACTGCTTGGTTGGTGCATTCGAAGTACTGATTCTTTAATTATGTAAGGGCCCCAAAAAAGTGGAAAATTTGAACTATACACACGTGAGTTTCTATCTTTATCATTATGGTACATTATGTTTTTTTTTTTTTTTTGGGATGAAATGAATGGTACATTATGTTTTACTCCTACTGGGACATACTTTGTTTTGTATCTTTGGGACATACGAGTATATCATCGACTCATCATAATGTTTTTCTTAGCTAATTTTCCACATCTCTACCGCAATAAACGGACTCTGATGGAAGACTCTGATAGTTTCAGAGTTTACTTGACTATTTAGCTTTTCCTTTTACTTTTTTTCTCAGTTAGTTAGAGAATATTTAGAAAAATTAGGATTTGGATTCAGTGAATAATTTTAATTTATTCACTTAATAAGTATCTTATATGTGAAACGAGAACAACCGTTGAATTTAGTCGAACGATAATCGGTGATTTTGTCAGTTCATTCTTAAAAAGCACCCAATCAAATTTTTGGAGATGAGACAATGTATGAATGTATGTGAAGAGAAATTAGAGTTTACTTGACAATACTTTTAGTTTTTATTTTTTTAAAATATTTCCCAATTAGTTAAAGAATATTTACAGAAATCATCATGCTATGCAAATTTTTTATATTTATAATTAAATGCAGAACCACGTATGTTAACCTCAATATTCTCTTCCCTCTTGATTGATTTTGGCAAAAAAAAAATGATATGATTATTTGACTGAATCAGTTTAAACATTGTCGAACTTAATTAGAGATAACTCTCTCAAATAGTTTCTGCAATATTCACATATACTCAAATTTAATACCTCATGTTTTATTCCACTTTCATTGTCATGTTAGGTTTTACAATATCAATGAACAATTAATTTTGTTTTAATCATATGCTCTCAAGAAGATTAATACGTGGCTTTTAAAACCGTATTTTTTGGTTATCAATAGCCATCACAATTCACACCATCTCTTATCAAGTTATGGTACATTTATGACATCAACTAGGCCTGACGAAGTGCCACCTTTTTTTTTTTTTGCCACAAAAAGAAAAGCAATAAAATTCAAAGAAAATGCTCAAACAGAGCAGCAACACAAGTCCAGAAAACCAAGAAATATCGGAAAAAGAAACAAAAGCAAGGGTAAAAAGGGGCAAAAGCATAGATAAAGCTCTAATTCTAGACACAAGAACCAAATGATCCAGAAGAAAAGCGAGAGGGAATGGAAGCATATCAACTTAATCCGAAGAACACATCCCTATCATTACAGTACAAGTAATCCATACAACAACCTGATAAAGAGAACTTGGATTACCCTTAAGTGCCACTTTTACAATATGAACAATTTAGTAAAATTCTATCACTCATTAAATTTTTTTATTGTTTTCTCTAATTTTTGTGTCAAATTTTTTTCATTAAGAATTTTTGTGTCAAATGATGCTACAAATGAAACAGAAAGAATATGCAAGTAAATTAAATATTTGAACAATGTGCATTAAAATAGTCTGAAAAATTAAACTTACTGTTCATTACATAAGAATACTATAATTTATTATAAATTTTATATTTTATATGTTATTGGATATCACGTTAATTAATATTATAAATGTCATAGTCAACTATAGTATTTTTAAGAGTAAAAAATACACATATTTTTCTGTGTATTTTATGAGTTCTTAATTGTGCAATTTATTGTTAATTTTATATTTTCATTCATATTGATGGTATTATTTTTTCTATTCCTTGTTTTTTTTACTATTCTTGTTCTTCTCTGACATATTTAATATTTTTATTTCTTTTTTTACACAATTTTATTAAAATAATTTCAAATATCTTGTAAGAAAAGTTAGACATGACGCATGGTTGTGCATACTATTTTTCATGTGGTTACATAGTAGAGTCTAGAAGTTTATGATAGTCAGCCAAATTTCTTTATAAGAAAATATTATACTATTAAATTGCTTGGTGAGATATTTTGAAGAAATATCATAATATTAGATGATATTATAAAAAAAAATACCCCCAAGTTTTTCAAGATACCAAACAATGAAATAAAAAAATATTAGGCAATATTTTCAATTTTTAATTTAATACTACTCGAAAATCGAAACTAAATTAATTTCTTTTTTTTTTAAAAAAAAGGAGCTCTCTTTTAATATCTTGACAAAATTCATCTGCAAGCTTCAACCCTTTGTTTTTACACAAGCAGCCTTTTTCTCTTTTTTAATTTATATTCCCACAACTAGGCCATTCTTGTCTCCTAGTTATAATTGAAAACTTCTTGTCCTAAATACACATGAAACCATATATATATATATATATATATTATACACCACATACAAACTCACCAGGGGCTCCTGATAAAGTTTACATCAATTCCAGCCATGAAGCTCTGTGCCAACGAAGTACTTCACCATGTTCAGCTGACATCTTCAAGAACCACTCTCAAGAAAGTTCTTCTGATGCCATTCTTTCTGTTCCTGATGCTGATCCCTCTTCCTTTCTTCAGAAACTCACATAATAACCAGCCGTCGTCCTCATCTTCTCCTGAGATGAAAAAGAGCAGTGACATGATGATGAAGAGATGCGATGTGTTTTCTGGCAAATGGGTTCCGAATCCAAGAGGGCCATACTACGATGATCGCAGCTGCCATTCAATAATAGATCAGCAAAACTGCATCAAGTCTGGGAGACCTGACAGAGAGTATCTCAAGTGGAGATGGAGGCCTGATGAGTGCGAGCTTCCATTGTTTAATGCAGCCCTGTTCTTGAAGCTTGTCAGAGGAAAATCTATGGCTTTTGTTGGAGACTCAGTGGGGAGAAACCAGATGGAGTCTCTGTTATGCCTCTTAGGTCGTGTAAGTCTAATTCTCAAATTAATTAGAGATTATTGTTATGTTCCGATTAAGAGGATTTGGATTTAGTATTGACAATAAGAGCTGAGAAATTAGATTTGAATTTTAACTTTGGGAGAAGTTGGTCCGCAAAAGAGGAATTTTGGAGAAGAAAATTCCCCAAAATCTGAAAATGAGTTTTTTTCCCTATTTATAACTTTTGAAAATTATAATTTATTATAAATTTTAGGTTTAATATTGACATTGGTAATGAAGGGAAGTAAAATTTCTCTTTCCCTCTTTATGTGAATTCTCTTTCCCTTTTTTCATCACAACTCTTGTGCAATACTTGATAGGTGATAAAGTATTTAAAAAAAAATGCACATGTCCTATTTTTCTAAATATATTTCTTATTTTTTATAAAATATTTTTCCGTGCACCAAAAGTGTCTTAATTCCCAATCTTGCCCTTTGTCTCCAAAAAAAATCAGCAGTTTATTTATTGTTTGTTGTGGTTTTTACTTTTTACTTATTTCAATCTTGCTTGTGGAAACCTGTTTCCCAAAGTAGAAGTGGATTAAAGAAATACAGTACTTAGTTTGACCAAGTCTACTGATAACCTGGTTTATCATCATTTATCATTATCGGATGCCCCTCCCCATCTTTCAAAATGTACATTTTACTTTTTTAGATTGTTGGAAATGGCACACAGAAATGTGAGGTTAGATAACATGTACAATTTAATTGTATAGTTTAGGTGTTCCCCCCCCCCCCAAAAAAAACTATGCTTTAATTTCCCACTAAATTCAGGGTCGTAATTGACAGAGTTAATACTAATGAAAGTTTAATGATATAAATGAAAATATTTTTTCAGAATTATCAAAATACAATTACAAAATTTTTTTCCTATTTTTCCATGAACACAAATTACAAAAGTTTAAATTTTAAAAATTAAATAAAATAAATTTTTTAATTTAAAAAAAAAACCAGCACTTTTTCAGCCTGCCATTTGAAACTTATCATCTTGCCCAAGCAAGCACAAATATCAATCCTAAAACATATATTTTATTCTTTCAGGTGTCGCACCCTAAGGATATTTCTCTGACGCAAACATCAGACACAAGATATTTCAGAAGACACTTATATGCTAAATACAATTTCACTCTCACAGCTCTCTGGGCCCCATATCTGGTGACGACAAGAGATGCTGAAAACACCATTCATTCTTACAACAGCCTCATGAACCTGCATTTAGATCAGCCAGATGAAGCTTGGACCACTCAAATAAAAAATTTCGACTATGTGATCATCTCAGCTGGCCACTGGTTCTTTCGTCCAACACTGTACTATGAAAAAGGTCAAATAGTTGGATGCACCAGCTGCAATATGAACAACATAACAGACTTAACAAGCTACTACGGCTACAAAATGGCATTCCGAACAGCTTTTAGGACTCTTCTGAACCTTGAAGGGTACAAGGGGGTGACAATTTTGAGGACATTTTCACCCTCTCACTTCGAGAATGGCGAGTGGAACACGGGAGGGAGTTGTCCAAGGACAGCGCCGTTTAAGGAGGGCGAGGCAAAGCTACAGTGGTTTGTTCAAGAAATGTATTTGAGTCAGGTGGTAGAGTTTAGAGCAGCAGAGAGAGAAGGGAGAAAGAAGGGTTTGAGGTTTTGGTTGATGGACACAACTGAGCTAATGCTGCAGAGACCTGATGGGCATCCTAATAAGTATGGACGTTCAAAGGATAAGAATTTGACTGTTAATGACTGTGTTCACTGGTGCCTGCCTGGCCCTGTTGACACGTGGAATGAGTTTTTGCTCTATATGATGAGAGTGGAAAGTCAGAAATCCCCTAGTTCAATGCTGTAGAGATTTTTTTTGGAACATTAAAGTCTAAAATGTGAAATATATTCTGTTTTATCTACTAGTTTTAGGCTTAATGGGAGGGATAGTTGTCTCTGTTCTTCATTGTGGATTTTGGAACATAAATGCCATAAAATATACCATACTGTATCCTATGTGATCAGTTGTATCTATCTCATATACCCCTGCCAGCACCTCATTTTCATCTGGCTTTAGGAAGCCGGGAGAAGGGAAGAGAAAACATCCATAGAAAATGGAAAGGGACAGGAAGGTAAAATGGTAATTTTCAGTACTTTTCTCCTAGATTAAGAAAACTAAAAAATATAAAAGAAGAAAATTTTTAAAAAAGAAAATTAAAAAGCCAGCCTGAAATCCTTCATTCTCCTGCCCTCCTTATACCAAACTCTCAAATAAGGCAAGATACATCAATTGAAACCTTTCCTTTCCTTTCCCTTCTCTATCACCCTTCCAAGCAGAACCACAGTGTCCATTGTGCTACATTACACATCTACTCCAGATCACAATCATCTAAAGGACAGCAGTGGCATCAGTTGATATTTATCAGACTAGGAATTTCTGATACCATGCTTAGATATTTAGCAATGGAACGATGAGCCACGGCAGGGTGCCCCAATGACAACCTCGCTCATCAGGTCACGCAAAAAAGATGCTTCCTGCCCATTCTTTAGGGTAAGACAAATCCTAGGTAGAGAGGAAGACACTACATTACTAAGTTTCAGCTATAATAGGAACTTTCAACTTTAAAACGCTATTTTAGATCATATCAAACAACAACACGGCTATGATACACTGACAGAAGGTGTTCAATACGTGCAAACAAATAAGAACAATACACACACCCTAAGGTCCCCATAGATCAAGGAGAAACCAATTCAGCAGTTTCCAAACACTAAATAAATATGGAAAATAATATTGCGAAGCTTTAGTAAGTCATGAGCAATATTAATCACTCGATTAGCTTCCTCTTCATGTTCCAGTACTTACATTTCTCATAAGCCAGTGTTCCACGAACAACATAATAGTATAGCAACAGAAGCATCTCACTACCGCAACTCAAGGTATGATCATGTACAGTACAAAGAATGGTACTCTTAGCTTCTATTCTAAGAATTTGTATATGTATAGTTAATTACTCACTGTGAGTCAAAATGATATTTTGATAAATACAATTACGTGTAAAGCTAAAATGTAGAGCACAAACGCCGACCTGAGCAACATTATCTTCTGTTGGCTTTCATTTCTGCCACCAGAATGGTAAGGAAGCTTTTGATGACCATCACCATCATAATCAAACGGAGCATGTCCCTTGTCAGATGAGCTTCTAACAAAACGATTTCTAGTCGTATTGGCCTCAGTAATATTGCTTTCCATTCTTCGCCATTGCCCATTCAGTCTTTCCAGCTCCATCTCTTTAAGATGAATTTCGCTAAGTAGGCCCTCAGCTTGTGTCTAACAGCAAGATAGGAAGACAGATTATTAAACTCATATATGCAGAGATTCAATATAACAGTTCTATAATATACAAATAGTGAATTGTTTACAGAGAATGAAGCGTGAAAAGGAACCTGCTTTGCCGCTAGTTGCTCAATTAGACTGTGAAGCTGTTTATCCAATGTCTTCTCTCTTTGAGCTACATATTAAAGGGAGGGAACTGATTAATGCCAATACGCATTATGCAAACCACTACCTCCAGGCTTATTTATAACTTACAAGAAACAAGTTATAGTTAAAAATTAACTTCAAGTTGTTTCTGGTAAATAGGCCAATAGATAGAATGAAATTATAGCAAATGCAGTACATATGTACAATATTAAGAGCATCCATATCCAAGCATACAAAAAATATTGGCAATCATCCATCTTAGAAGAAAGCACCCAATCCTATAATTTTTCAAGCTTTTTCATAACAAAATGACAGCCAAAAGAGGACATGCATACAAGTAGAATTGATTAGAACAATTAGAAGTCCACTTGTCCTTAAAAGATTCATGTGACTCTCAAGTCAGGTCCTACTTTGAATCAAGTATTTCTGTTTCCAAAATTATATATACCTAAGACCACTTTATACCATTTCAAGGACAACGTACAAACAGAATATGAAAAGGATCCAATGGGAGCCATACACAAAAGTATAAGAAAATATATGCCACTTAAAATAATGAAAGCACTAAAATAAATATGTAGCTGAATAACAAAACGTAAATACAGTCATCTCTAGTGTGCAACAGCGACTGCATGTGTTATCCAAACAATCTACAAACAACACATTGAAGAAGGATTGTTAAGGCAAAAAAGAAATGTAGAAGAGCATATTTTGGATAATAATTATTTTAATTCCCTACAATTTGAGGCAACATAAAGATGCCTAAGTTAGCATGAGCTCAGTTGGAAAATGTCCCGCTTTCTAGAAAAGTAGTCTATGCTTTAGACATCCCCAAAAAATAAATAAATAAATAAATTGATGAATGATCAATGCAGGGGGGAAACGGATATACCAGGGGAAGGGTGCTTAAGAGCACTTTCCTGCATTTCAGCCCATTTTTTCTCCAATTTTTGTACAATTTCTTCCATCAAACTCTGAAAGAATTATACAACTATTTGTTAACAGTTATGACTCCATATTAATAATAATATAATGGAAATGAACTGAAAAAAAAAAACAACTAATGATTAAAACCATAACAGACCAGTTCTTTGTTCTTCTCTTCTAACTTGTTTAGTATAGCAGAATCTGATGCATCTGTATCTGGTCCAGCTTCAGGCTTTGTGTTGGATTCTTCCTTCCATCCATGAGATCTCACAGATTGATCAGTATCTACTGAATTTTGACGTTTTAAATTATCAAGCTCAGCTTTCAGCTTCTTCTCAGTTTCATCCATTTCCTGCAGCACAGGGAAAAAAGAAAGAGAGGGGAAAAAAAATATCAAACCCAAATATACTTAGCCTTGTGCATGAAGTACGAACTTGTTTGTAAAGCATTAATGCACATCTAGCACATCGCTTCTTAACAAGGTAATTCAGGTTTCCATCCAATCTTAGGAAATAAATGATGCCACCAATATAGACAACAATAGAGTCTTTGAGAAAGAAGCTTGTATAGATAAACTAAAATTGCAATTCTCACCTCTAACTTCCTCTGTAGTGAATCTGCCTCTTGCATTTTTTCTTGTATTTTACTCTCACAATTTGATATTGCTCTCTCAAAATCAGCATTTTCTTCCTGCAGTGTTGCCTCTCTTAATTGCGCCTGTCGCATTGCCAAATGCTAATGAGAAAGTCGAACTACTAGTCACTCACAAGAAACTTTGTCAAACTTCCTACCAATAATTCACAAGCAATCTTAGCAATAAACTCTCTCCCTCTCTCTCCAAGTGGAACAAAATTTTTACATCATTAAAAATTGTGGCATCTATCCATAAAAGATGATGATTTTGTCTTTTTCCTTTTAATAAATTGTAATACAGACTGAAAATAGAAAGTGTTGATCTTCTCTACTGATTCATAGATGTCAAATGCAACACAGATGACAAGAATTCAAAGAATTATAATCATAATGATCACCAAGCCGTCCACATGCCAAATAAATTATCAATCACAAATCTTAATAGCTATGTTATGTTTACAATTACAAAATAGAAATCTGTCGATTCCCCAACAATCCTAGTCTAGAACCAATGGTCATGTCCAGACAACAGTAATTCTCGCATGAAACTGCACGATTAAAGTTATGTGCAATAAAATTAAAACAATTATAACAATAATACATCATTAAATCTACATTTATCTGAGTAGACTTGAAAATAAAAGTAAGGCAAAAATCATATTACAAAATAAACGTCTGTCCAACAAGAGCCAAATCTTGAAAACGAGATCTAGTTTATAAATCTGAAATAACTTATAGAATGGGAACCAAATCAAACAAAAATTTAAAGAGATACATCACACCAATTGCCCACATCAAATAAGATTAACTATACAGTACGATTGGTGCAAAAAAAAACCGCTATTACATAAGAATAAAATCAAGATTCAATAGAAGTCTCGGAAATGTTAAAAATTATATGTATATATAAAAAAGACAAAATGTAACTCGTTTCCCAATGAATCATAATCGAACTCGAACTCCAAAAAGATGGAAAAAAAAATCCGTTATTCGCAACGAAGTAAACATATACATTACAAAATGCAAATGAATTTCAGACGAACTTGTTCACGCGTTGTCGAGTGGGCATTCAATTGGAGGGCAAGAGCAGCATTGGAAGCGAGGGTGTGAGCGTGTAGGTGAGGGAGGCTTTGAGAAATGTCAGGAGGAGGCAACCTCTGCCGTAGATCCTGGATCAAACGGGCAAGAGATGCTGCCTTCTGGTCCAATTCCCAAACGTACCTTTGCTGCTCCGGTGAGAACAGAACCGGAATCCGACTCAACGCATCGCCTCCGTCGCTGTCGATGCCGCCACCTCCGACGACGTCAGCCGCCCATGCCAGTAAACCAGCCATGGATAAGTCGCGTAGACTTGTGAGTTATTCAAGACAAAGGATGAAATGTTCCAAAACGAAAGGTTTTCAAGGTTGTTGAAAGATGATATGCTTAATCTTCAACTAATTTCTTCTTGAACGTCATATGAACTCTATTGATTATCATCATGAGAGGATTAGGTATAATACAAACTTACAGACACCAGGTGCAGTACTCTTGTTAAAATGATTTTGTGGGAAACAAGTTATAATGATTTTTTAATTACACTACTCAGAAAAAATATAATAATCAAAACAGTTTATTTAAAAATATTGAGAAAACAACAAAGCAAGAAGCCCAATCAGATCCAAAAATTTAACAGGCCCAAAAAAATGTGGCCCATAGAAAACTCCAAGAAAAAGGAAAAATAAATGCCATCTGCAGTGCGGTTTGCCCAAAAATGAGTCCAGAAAAAGAAAAGAAAGAAACAACACCATTCCTGGTGACAATTCATGTAAATGACTAATTAACTGACAAAAATTAATTCAATTAATAAAAATTTAACTCATAACTTACAAAATTATAGATTTAAATCTTATTATTAATATAAAGACCTTATTGATGAATGATCTATAAGTACTTTTATAAACATTCTTTGAGTTTGAAAGTATGCTTTAACCCGATAATCTCTTGAGACATAATTCACTTAAACTTTTCACTATAAAAAAATAAATAATAACTAATTGTAGTTAAATATTTTTATTATATTTTCACCAATATATTAATTAAAAGTCATTTTACATGATATATGGAATTGAACCATTTTAACTAGTTACATAATTTCTTAAAAGATTTGGACTCAAATCATTAACAGCAACAGAAAAAAAAAACATACGAAAAGATTAGCAAGCCATATTATTTATGAATCATAAATAGTGAAACACATTGTACATGAGACTCACATCTTCCCCCCCCCCCCCCCCCCCCGGTTTGACCTGAAACATCTGGGTTTGATAATAAAAGTGGAAAGCTAATTAACCAACATGTTGTGTTAGCGATGATAAATGAAACGTGCCCACTTTTGTTGTGCCATTCTGCAGGTCATTGCGGTGAATATTTTTGGACACCAAACTAGAGCTGAAAATAATAATACCTAATCTGTTCATCTCTCTTTTTTCTTTTAAAAAAAAAGTTTAAGTAAATTAAATTTCAGAGTTGAGTCTCCAAGTTTAAAAAATACTTATAAAAATGCTTACAAATTGCCCACTAACAAGATCTTCATATCAACAACAGAATTCGATCCCATGATTTAATAGATTATGAGTTAAATTTTTATCAACTCGACTAACTTTTATTAATTGCTTATCTCATATTTTATTCAAACTCAAACTTTAATAATAAAGACTAATGTTGTGTTTGGTTAAATATGAATTTGGTTTTAAATTTGAATTTAGGCAAAATTTCTTGTTTGAGCACTTAAAAATTTATGAATTTGACCCAAATTCAAATTTTATCCATAATCTTTTATAATTTAAAATCCTTTATAAACTGTTGTTATTTCAAATTTCCGCTCCTGCGTTGTCTCTTGCGTGCTCGTTCTCGATCTTTGTCTTTGATCTCGTCTCTCACTCAGTTAATCTTCTATTCCTTTATTCTGACTTCTTTCGATTGATGTCTTCTGTTTGGTTATTGATTCTTTAACGTCTCTATGGAGGAAAATGGAGTCATTCACGAAACATACAGTTTGCCCAAATCATCAGACACTAAGCAACACAACCTTGTTTCTAAAAATATAATTTTTTTTGTTAATTAGAAAAAATAAAAATGGAATTTGATTATGGTCATTTGAAATTTCTTGCATAATCCAAATAAAGAATTTTAACATTAGAATTTGAAATTATTTGAACTACCCAAATAAAAATTTTAAAGGCATGGACTTGAGATGTGGATCCAAATTTATTAATTCAAACACTAAGTAAAGTTATATATTACATAGGGATTTTTGACTTAGCCCTGTGGGCCCAGTTTACTATTGCTTAGTCTTGAAACTTGAAAGGCTCTTGTTAGCGTATGCTTCTTCTTCATCTTCTTCTTTGTTTATGTTAAATACATTTAATTTTTTTAAAAATATAAATTTATTTAATGTAATTATGTTTTATTTAATTTTTTACATGATAAAAATAATTTAAATTTGAATTATCAAATTTTAGAATAATTGAAAACTCTTGAATATTAGTGAAAACTTCTAAAGATAAGTAGAAGATAATTGAAACTGCTTTAATAAAGTTTCTTAAAGATACGTTGAAGAATTTTTAAGAAAGGTGGGAGATCATCATCATGTAAGATATATTGTAGAAAATATTACGGTAGAAAAAGTAAGAATGATGCGTCAAAAATATGATCGGTTAATTAGCAAGTTATATTTTAAAAAGTAATGACGTGTTTCGATGTAATTGGTTGGTCGTTGTGAAACCCACCATATCTTTAATTTTTATGTTAAATCATAAGTATATTTTAATATTTCTTATCCAAACTTAATTCCTTGTGTTTTTCAAAATTTTCATGCTTCTTCCCAAATATTTTTTTTTATTTGTTCCTTTTGAGATTTAGCTAATATTCCATAAAATTTAGGACCCTTCAATCATCTCCCATCTATAAATAAAGCAAGCTTTTGGACTTTGGTGGTGGTGGGGTGCTGCATCCACGGCACAATTTTAAAAAATGGGAATGGGAAGTATACAATGACTTGCCTCTCCTCTTGCGCGAGCTAAGAAGAAGACCGAATTTGACCAATTTATTGAATTATAATGATTCTATTGAGCATGTTGGGATTAATTTGATCAGTGAATTAACTATTAAAATATCTACATATTCAAATGGGTAACAAGTATTACTTAATCTAAAAAAAATTGGATCACTATTAATTGTGTTATTGTTCGTAAATTGGATTACATACAAGTTAAATTACAATACTAATTATATATTTTGGGAAAATCGCACACAATGACAGCTGAAGAATATTATTCGCATAGACAAGAACCAATAAGAAATTAATTATTATTAAAATTACATGGGAGTGGAGATTTTTTCTCCTCTCAAATATTAACTTGTTATTAGTCATTGTCTAGAAATAACATATTTAATGGTCCTTGTATGTGATTTTTTAATACATCTTTTGATCTTGACTAGAGTTCGAGCTTTTTAAAGAGATTGTTGTATCAGGGATTTCTTCTCCCTCCCCTCATTATCAAAGGGTTCTCCATCCATTGGCAAAGAGTGATGAGATTACTAGCGTCTTCTTCCTATGATAGGCGGCCAGCATGAGTTTGATTTGAGTGGGTGGGTTAATGTGTTCATGGGTTTAGGCGTGCAAACAGGACATGCATCTATCTTATTTTCTTTCTAAGTATATTTCTTATTTATTTTTTGAAAAATATTTTTTTCATGCAACAGACATTGCCTAAATCTATTTGAGAATACCATATATGATAGATATCTTTGGCCCTCTAGATCTTCTCACCCTCTTCTTTCTAAGTGTGCGTTATGAAAATTAAGTGACATTATGGGGGGGGGAATGTAAGTTTTATATGTGATCAATTTTTGTTTTTGTTTTTGGTTTTTTGGTTTTGGTGAATGAAGCTGTGATTTTTCTTAATTTTAACTACAACTAGATATTAATAAAAATTTGACCCATAAATGTGATCAAATTCTACTACCAATGTGATGATGACTTTATTGATAGATAATGTATAAATATTTCTCTAAACACTCTTTAAATTTATAAGTATACATTATTTTTGGTGAGTTTTGAGATCCAACTCACTTAAATTTTTTATTATAATGAAAAAGATATTGGTGGCAATCCATTATCTAAGGTGCAAGTTGCTAATGGGATAGAGACCAGGCAGTGCGAAGGAGGCTAGCTAGTGAGTGTGTATATGCTTTGTCTATTCATGCAATTGCACTCCAACATAACATTTCGATTTCAACAGTCTCCTTTTTCGTCAAACAGTGATTCGATTACACATCAACTATGGGAGTGCACGAGACCAAACCCACTTGATTTATTGCTACCACCATAAGCTTGCTCTGCTTGCACATGCCCAATTTATAGAGTAAAGTAACGCAACCAAGGGCCACCGATTATCAATATGTCAACATGCAACAATCTAGATGACTAACAATGTGACTCCGGCCTCTGCCTAGTGCCTACTATCTATGTTTTTTTTTTTTTTTACTTTGTTCTTAAATATATGACCCATTTCATACCATGACATATAGGTGTGTTATCAAGAATATATTCCTCTTTTCGTATAAAAAAAAATATATCCCACTATTTAATTTATCCCGAAATATTTCACAGCATTAAATGAAAATGGTGTAATTAAACTTCTTTCAATAAAATTTAAGAAAGGTAGTTTTGGGAAGATGTTTGATGTGGAACAAGAGGGGAAGGAAGAGAAAAGAGATTGGAGGGATAAACGGGACACTCAAATACCGATCTTATTCAATTCATCGTCAACAGTGTAAAAGATAAGATGTATCAAAGGTCTATTTTCATAGCACTAATGTTAACTCTAGAATTAAATGTGAATTTTATAGAATATATAATAAAAAAAATCTAAAAAGATTACATTTATTAGATAGATTATTGAGCTAAAAGGAAAGATAACAACCATTCTTCATTTTCCATGCTCAATTCTTGCATATCAAACATGATTTATACATAAATTCCATGCAAATCTACCACCGTACCCATTCCAATTTCAATTATTTTTCCGCTTCCATTTCTTTTAAAAATGTTTCAAGCAAATTCTAAAAGTGGTCTAAGGTTATCAACTAATTTTAACTTCCCTTCTTAATCCACATGATTCATCATATAAAAGGATCCTATATTGAGGATTAAATGAAGTATATACTTCATGGAATATACATATAAACATATATAACTTTAATACATTTGCATCTATGTGTCTGAATTTATGTTTTAACTGGAGAGAATATTCTCTCTTTTGCGATGCAACTAATTAAACATGAGAGAAGTATGAATGTAAAATCTGGTTCTATCAGAGTGATTCATGTTTGGCGTTTTTTCATAATTATTCACTTGTACTTTGAAAACAAGGAAGAATAACAATTAGGTCTTAGAAGAGTAAATTAATGATAGTTAGGTTTTTGATAAAATTTTTGACACAATGAATTTAAATATTAATTCAAATAGTTATAAATAAAAATTTTTATCACAATCTAAAAATTATATTTAATATTTAAATATTTATTTATAATTGAAACTCTTAAATTTGTAATAATTTAAATTAATATTTTTAATTTATTTTTTTTAAAAATCTATCTAATACTTGACTGATATTAATTTAGTATTTTAAAACCTAACTATCATTATTTTTTAAAGCAAAGCAAAAAAGTGACACGTGATATAAAATAAAATGTCCTTGAAAGTTTTCTACATAAAATATGGTAAATGCATATGTCCTTAATTATGGGCCAATAGGCAAAAAACATTATGTCGGGGAATGAACAAGTTGGAGAAGATATGTGAGCATGGCTGTGTGTGACAGTGTCATTAAAAATATGTTTAGTTGGGGGGTTTTGGAAAGGAGGGAAGAGGAGGTACCTCCCCTCATTTAGTTAAGAAATTTTGGAGGGAAGAGGAGCCAAAATAATCCCTCCCCTCCCTTCATATTGCTTTCCTCCAAATTGAGAATTTTTGGAAGGAAGCTAATTTCTTTTGATTATTTTGCCCTTATATATTTTTAAAATTTTAAGTATACTCATAGCTTAAAAAAAAAACTCTTCGTCATATTATATTGTGCTTCACTTTTAAACGTTGGCTGGGCTCATTGGATTTTTTTTTAAAAAAATTATAATTTATCATATTTTATTATATATTTAGGGGATTTATTTATTTTTTATAAAAAAATTATTATCATTATAATTATTGATTTAATTTTTTTATTCACATATTTACAATATGATAGGATAAGAGTGAATTTTTAAAAAAATTATGTAATTAAGATTGAGGTGTAAAATTATTTTCTGCAAAGAACAATTAAAAAATTTTAAATTAATGTATAGGAATATAATAGTAAATTATTATTACTTCCCCTTTCCTACCAAACAAAGGATCATTAAAAACTACTCCCTTTCAATAAAATCAAACAAAATAATATTAAAACCTTTATCTTTTTTTGAACCAAACACACTCTAAGTAAATGAGACGGTAGCCTTGAACTTCAAAAACTGTTTACTTGTATCATATATAACTAGTCATTATTTTTTCCATCAAGAATTAATATTACTGATATATTTTTATTTAGAATTTATTACTTGTTTATATACTATATATATAACCAATTATGAAGAAAAGTGAAACGAAGATAGATAGATAAATAAATAATACTTCATCTAGTTCCTGCTGTAAGGCAATTTTTACTATTTTACTGAAATTAAAGAATGACAATTAACTCATTTAATATTTAAAACTAAAAAATTTTTAACTTGACCCTATTAAAAATAGGAAGAGAAAGATGCATAGTTTATACAATGAGTTATAAAATTAAATTTATAATAAGAATAAAATTAAAAAATTATAATAAATGATCCTCCATATGTCTTGTATTAAGAATAAAAAAAATCTTTTTAAAAAATATCCTGCAATAAAGATTGAAAAGTGGAAGTAGTAATATCTCTTAGACAATTTTACTTTAGGTCCCAAAATTTCTTCACGACATGTGAGCTCCAACATCCAACATCACTGTTGAAGACAAAAATGACAGACAAAAAAGGCATTCTATTTTTAATGATTTAGATTCATTCATTTACTTATTTCAATAGTAAGTTATGAACTACTTAAAATTTAAAAGTACAAAAATAATTAGCAAAAAATAACTGTGACCGTAATTAATAGCTTTTTTTTAAAAAAAATATTTTTATACAAACAAAAGAAACAATAATTGTCAAGAATAGTTTGTGCAGTTTTTTTTTAAACACTTCGATATCTAAAAGTTATATTAAACTCTAACTAATACTTCCTCTATTAAAAGATATAAGATATTTTTAATTAAATTTCACCATTTAATAAAATAGTTATCTATTTTTTAACTAATTCTATTTTTTTATTATCTTTATTGAATACCCTACAATAAATATAAAGTCATGATTAATAAGAACATTTAAAAAAAGATAATAATTATATCTTAAAAGATTAAAAATATTTTATATTTTTAAACATTTAATTTTTTTAAAAAATATTTTATATTTTTAAACTGACGGAGTAACAGTCAAGAATCATCACAAGAACACCACTTGCTTCAAACATGCCCTATGCTAGAATTCTGGTTAGCGTTCAAAGCTTGAAGGCGACGTAATAATGATGTTCTGATGACATTTGCTGCCATAATATAATACATTTTAATATAGTTTTTGAACATTTAAATAATATATATGAACTATATAATTATAATTATATTTATATATTATGATTATAATTTGGTTCACATTCTATTTTTGTTTTTGTTTTTTATCTTTTTGAAATTCACAAGTGTATTTCATCTAATATCTAAGAAGTTAATGAAAATTTTTTTAATAAAATAAAGATATAATTATTTATATGTAATTATTTTTCCTAAGAGAGATGGTCCAAGATGCACTTGTCGCGTGGAAATGGTTTACGTGCTCACTGCACAACAGCTGAGGGAGTCATTCTTCACGATCTCGATTCATGCCAATTGGCAGGCAAGTCAAAGTCAACCCTCACGTTTCTCTCCACATGCATGCGTTTGTACAATATATTTATTATTTTCAAATCTAAATTATTATTCCAAACACATTACCACAGCCATTTACTATTTTCACGCTTTTACTTCAATTTACTTGTTCCCTGTATTCATTTTTGTTGTTGGTGCATGCATGAAAGATAAGTTTATAGGAGCACTTTTGCTTTTCTGAGATTCAAAATATTAATTTTTTGGATATAATTTGATGACTTATTTTCCAATGATAAAATTTGTTGAATTAAAAAGGAGAGAAAAGGTAAAGAAATAAATATTTTTCTTTTTTCTTTTTCATTAGAAAAATTTTAGAATTCCTAAAGATTCTTTTTGTTTTGTCGTTCCATGTATGTTGATACGGACACTTGTTTTTTCTTTTTTGACGACAGATATGTACAAAAAAAAAATCATATCATGAACTTCAATTCTCTTCCAATTTAAATTTTTTTATCATAATTTTAATTTTTTTTAAAGATGATATTTTAATATGGTCAAGAGCTCTTTCCAAGATTACAATTTCCACAAAAATAAAGAATCCAAAAGGAAGAATCACCTCCAGGTCCTTTACTGTCATTGTTTCAATCTCAAATCCGCGACTTTCAAATTTAAACGTTCGACTTCAAGAAAAGCTGCTGCGAAAAGCCACGAACGATCATATTTTCAACACAAATTCATTAGTAGTGTTCAATGTGAGTCATCAACTTCCCCTTTCTTGCTGCTTCGTCCTAATCTAATCTAATCTAATACTATAATCTAGTGTTTATTACTAATTAATACTTGAATTGAATCAAATTGGAAATTTTCAATGCGGACGAAGATCTTGAAATCTCAGCCTTCTCAAGTTCTTAAGTGGCGACTAGCGACGCCCTCATCATTAGCATCACTCAAGCACGCCTTCTTCTTCTTCTTCTTCTTCTTCACCATCATCATCATCAATGTCTTCTCCATTTCTCTTCCCCTTAATCCAATCCACTGTAATCCCTAACCCTTCACCTTTCTTCTCTCCCAACCTTCTCTCTTCCCCACTTCCCACTAATTCCTTCTTCCAGAACTTCGTCCTCAACAATGGCGACCAACACGAGTACTTCCATCCTTACCTCGTTAAATCCGCCAACTCTTCTCTTTCTCTTTCCTACCCTCTCATGTTCTTCAGTACCGCCCTCTTGTACCAGGTCTTCGTCCCTGACCTAACCATCTCTTCTAAATCGAGCTCTCGATATAGTTCCTCTCACAGATCACATGTAGTTTCTTCCTACAGTGATCTCAGTGTCACCCTCGAGTTTCCATCATCAAATCTCCGATTCTTTCTTGTGAAAGGAAGCCCCTTTATCACCGCCGAGGTCACACGGCGGACTTCGGTTTCTATCTCCACCGTCCATGCCATATTGTCGTTCTCGTCCAGTGATTCTCTCACAAAGCACACCGTTCGGCTTGATAACAACCAGACGTGGCTCATCTATGCTTCTTCGCCGGTTCATTTCAGCCGTACGTCATCGTCCGAGATTACCTCCGATGATGGGTTTTTCGGCGTCATTCGAATAGCAGCGTTGCCGGATTCGGAGAATCCGAGGTCCGAGGAAACATTGGATCGATTCAGTTCTTGCTACCCTATTTCTGGTGACGCTGCTCTGAAGAAACCCTATCGTGTTGAGTATAAATTTCAGAAGAGAAGCTCCGGCGATTTGCTCCTGCTCGCACATCCTCTTCATCTCAAACTTCTTTCTGAAACAGAAAGCAATTGTACTGTTCTTCACGATTTCAAGTACAGAAGCATCGACGGCGATCTTGTCGGAGTCGTCGGGGCTTCATGGGTTCTAAAAATAAACCCAATTCCTGTATCGTGGCATTCTACAAAAGGAATCAAACAAGATTCCGACAAAGAAATAATCTCAGCACTTATCAAAGACGTGAAGGATCTGAATCCATCAAACATATCAACGAATTCGTCTTATTTCTACGGGAAGCGAGTCGCAAGAGCTGCGAGACTCGCACTCATAGCAGAGGAAATATCATATCCTCATGTGATACCTAAAATCAAGAACTTTCTGAAGCAATCCATCGAGCCATGGTTGTACGGAACATTCAAAGGAAACGGTTTCCTCTACGAGAAAACATGGAAAGGTCTTGTTACCAAACAAGGTTCTTCAAGTACAACAGCAGATTTTGGATTTGGGATTTACAATGATCATCATTATCACATAGGCTATTTCATATACGGCATGGCAGTTCTTGCTAAGATCGACCCAGATTGGGGGGAAAAGCACAAGCCTCAAGCTTATTCACTAGTGGAAGATTACGTCAACCTGGGAAGAAACTCAAACCCATATTACACTAGTCTGAGATGTTTTGATCTTTATAGTTTGCATTCATGGGCAGCTGGTTTAACAGAATTTGAGCATGGACGAAACCAGGAGAGTTCAAGTGAAGCAATAAATGCATACTATTCAGCGGCTTTAATGGGTTTAGTTTATGAAGATTCAGACTTGGTAGCAACTGGTTCAACACTCACAGCACTGGAGATTCTTGCAGCTCAGACATGGTGGCATGTGGAAGAATCAAATGACATGTATGGCAAAGAGTTTGTGAAAGAGAATAGGATAGTGGGGATCTTGTGGTCTAACAAGAGAGACAGTGTATTATGGTGGGCTCCAGCAGATTGCAGATCTTGCAGACTTCTGATTCAGGTTTTGCCTTTAACACCGATCACAGAGGTGTTATTTTCAGATGTGGGCTACGTGAAGGAGCTTGTGGAATGGACAGAGCCTGATCTGAAAACCGCTGAAGAATCATCGAAAGGGTTTACTTTTGCATTGGAAGGGATTTATGATAAGGAAAATGCATTAGAGAAAATCAGAAAATTGAAAGGTTTTGATGATGGGAATTCTTTGACTAATCTCCTTTGGTGGATTTACAGCAGAGGTCAGGGTAATACGTCCCAATCTTGAAACAGAGTACCCCTGTTTCAGGGCATGTGATGTTGTTAGTTGCTTTTGTTTCGTTATTGTTTGGAAGTGTTCGTTTCTGGTGGCTCTCCACATTCAAAAGAAATTGTTAGTTAATGTTTCTGATGTATCATTGGGAAGATACATGCAGGCTTACTTTTTATTTTATCGTGTAATCTTATAGGAATATTCTATTGTGTAATCATATTGGAATTTCAGATTGGGTTTAGCACCTACCAACAATAACAAGGATAAGGTTTCTGTTTGTTGCTTAAAAAAAAAAAAAGTTCATTTCTAAACAAGTTCAAATCTATTTAAAATTGTTCATCACCCCTCCTCTCTAATCTTATTTATGAATTAATTTTAACAAGTTTCATCGCCACTGCGTACCAATAATTTAATTGCAGGGTAAAGAATGTCCTGATTTAATTGCTATAAAGTCAAAAATATTTTAAGATATAAATTACTCTACAGAGAATACTTCAAACACAAAAGTAAAACTTTACCCAAATTTAAATTCAGAAGGAGTTGGATTTTATCTAGAAGAAATGCCTTCTGCCAGCAGAGGAAAGTCTTATTATGAAATTTGTACAGTGAATTCAGGAAGTCAATGGGAACCTTTATGTCACCGAATTTAATAATTATCTCTAATGTGTGAAAAGTCCAAAATTATTTGTTTAACAAAAATTATACATCTAAGGAAATGTCAACGCTTTGAAGGAAACTAAAAAGGAGAATATAATTTTTTTTTTGACAAATAAAAGGGAGAATATCAACCGTGGCTTCTAAAGGAAATAATTATATAGAAGGTCTAAATGAATATGAAACATATGCATGTACATACATCATCTTCAACTGGAATTAACTCGTGTGGTTCAATTACTAAAATCTCCTTGGTTTATAAAATAAATTCATCATCGTTGTCAAAGCTCTATCACCGGTGGGCAGACCCCCTCCATGTTGGTGGTCGGAGCTATCAACCACCAAAGCTCTAGTGTAATATCATTCTCTTTTTAATATCATAATTAAAATTAAATCCCAAGTATTTAGGGAATGAAATTATAATAATTATCAAAATATCAAGTTTTCAATTGTCACAAAATGGGAACCCTAAGTTTACAAAACTAAACTCATTTTCAAAGTCTTGAAAATTAAATAAATTAGAATTCACAAATAGGCAGAAGCACGGGATCATTTCATATGTGAGTGGATTTATTTAAGAATTTGAAGCAAGAGAATTTCTAAAAAATTTTGAGGCATGCGCCGCTGTTCGTGGCACCATGCACCACAGCACAATTGCACAAATTTTGATAGTAAATTTTATTGTCAATTTGATAGTATTAGGAGCAACTTCTAATGTATCCTAAATCTCCGCCCAACGTCCGATTGACGCGAACTAGATGTCTACAGAAAGCTCTTCCTGAGCTCTAACTAATGGCATTAGTTTTAGACTCAAATTCTTTTTAAAATAAAAATTGGACATACTTTTCAAAACTTACACTTTTACAATAATTTTCACAAAATCAAGTGTTCAAACCAAATGCTAAAGGCCAAAAGCCACCAACACTAATTTGATCACATAGAAATTAATAAGACTAGCTCGTGCAATGCACCATATTACATGAAATACTCATAGATTAAATTTTTACTACTCAACCCCTTAAACTCAAAAACATACAAGGGAGAGTTTACCACAATTTTCATCAAGTTCTCCAAATCATCTCATGATATACTCTACTCTTACTTGCATTAATATTTTAGCCTTATCACAATAACACATATTTATCAACTCATTCCCTAGGGCCTAAAATATACTTACAATTTACAATTTACATAATGTAAGTAAGGAACAAATGAGAATTCCTAATTGACAATTAAAATTGTCATACACATATAATTACTCAAAATAAAGAGGCCTGCTACAAATGGAACGCGATCCTAAGCCTCTAAGTGTTTTTCTTTATCCACACTTCTTAAACTATTCCCTGTAATATTAAAGATAGTAAGGTGAGTATAACCACTCAGTAATCAGGTCCGACTAACCCATACTAATGCATATTAATTAGTTTTAATGCAAGTGGCAGTTAATGTCAATACTTTAACCTATGTAAAACATTTGAAAATAGATATTCACAATCCCATTCACATAATAGCATTTACTTGAAAAACAATGCTTTTTAACACTTCTCATATAAAGAGAATTGGTCACACAATTCATTGACAAATACATTGAAAGAAATTAAGATTCAACTTGTGATATCATCATTAAGGACATAATATAGACAACCAGGTGCCATTATTCACTATATACATGATCACACTGCCCTTATATCCTCCTTATTTCTCTGACATGAAACCGTGAACTATAACTTAACAGGATAGTCTATATTCCATGACTTCCCTAGCCTAAACACTTGTGAGGATATTACCTAGCCAAGGTGCACTCAACTCATTTATGGAACACGATTTTTCCCATTTCTCATACTATAAAGTGTCATACACTCTAAACTGGCCTCCTCATTAAACCGGTAGATAGCTAGCTAGGTTCGAGATTCTCGTTGAACTAATGAGACAGTCCCTTGTTGAACAAGTGTGACAATATAGATATAATCAATCCGACAAACCATCTCATGGATGGGCCTTACCACGTGGATTTTATCATCTACTCCTCTCTCTAGACGAACTCCTACATTTTAAGATCATGTAATGCACATTCATACCATAATTCACATTTATACAATTCATAGAACTTTATATTATCAATTTCATTGAAATTCATCATTATCATTGGACTTCTTAAACACATTTTCATGGAATTTCAAACTAAATAAGTCATTGAACTTTAATTTTACAATTATTGTACTTCACACTTTTAAAATCATTGAACTTTATTATTTTAAACATCATTGAACTTCTCATAAACAAATATTCATGTTACTTCTAAAGTTACAAAGTCATTGAACTCTCAACAAACATGATACAAAAATTTACCAATATTGTCCTCAAAGAATTTCACGTCACAAGGCATAAAACTTACAAAATACTCCCATTTCTTCATTTCTTCTCTTCTCTAATGTATCAAATTCATGACTTATTTTAGTAGAAATGTGTCGTGGCGCGTGGCACAAAGAGCTTCTTCCAGGCTTGTTGTCACGCATGCACTGCGGTGACCCATTCACAAGCTGCGGCACATGGCATAGAATCCTTTCCTTAAAAATTCTTTCTCTTCCATTTTCAGATGACCTGATTCTCCTTCAAACTCACATTTAGAATTGAAATCGAGACCAAGCACGTCTGTTAGGCCTCTCTAGCCACACACCTCACTAATACACTTAATTAGTCTATTTGAGCTTAATTAATCTAATTTAAAGTTGAGGATGTTACATCTAGCACCAACAACAATGTTCAATTATTCAAAAGGGCTAAGAGAGATTTAAATCCATTATCCCTTGGTTCTCAAAACATAATAAGAAACCACTGAACTAGTAAATCAATAAAAAGTTATAACGCCTTCAATTTTTATTATAAAGCCTATTCTAAAAAAATTTGTTGATTCTTGATGTTAGACATTTGATAAGATATTAATTATGTTTTTTTAATATTACCTCTATGTAAATTTATTAACTATGAAAGAGAATATAATATAAATTTTTAAAAAAATTTATTTAAATAAAGGTAGAATTGAAAGTTTATTTTATTTTTGAATAAAATTATTGATTTAACCACGTCTCCTTTAGTCCAGTTAAGTAGTTAGATGTGCCTTATAAATTTAGTTTTCAAGTCTTTCCATTAGTTGTTATTAATTTTAAATAAGTCATTAATATCCAAACAATAATTATTTTAAAATGACTTGTTAATATTCAAAAAACAAGTTATCAATTTTTAAATATAAACTTGTTCAATTTTTTTTATAGTTTGTTCCTTAAATATTAATAAGTTATTAATATTATATCAAATAAAATAATAGATATTATAAATGTGAAAAGGAAAAGGAAAAATATCATCTAAGGACCCTAGTTGAGTTTTTATATCACGAAGGACCTTAAAAATATAAATTTTCACTACACTTCCTTGGTACCTATTTAGAAATAAAATTTTTATGAGAAAAGGCCTAATTAGCCCTAAAGTTTAATAATTTAATGGGTTATTGTTAATTATGTATAATTAGTTGTCAAAATCTAAATGGATACTTGTTTATGTAGTACTGAAATTTGTATAATTAAATTTGTGCTATCAGTTAAAGAGTCACTTGTTAATTTCGAATGAGTTGTTGTTAATTACGTATAGTTATTAAAAATCGAACAAATACTTATTTATTCAGGCCAACACATGTACAATTAAACATATGCTATTAGTTATAGTTACTTGTTAATTTTAAATAGATTGTTGTTAATTATATAAGATTACTTGTTAAAATTCAAATGGATGTTTATTTATGTAGGATCAACACTTATATAATTAAACCTTGCTCTATTAGTTTTCGTGATTTGTTCATTTTTGAATAATTTGTTATTAATTACATATAATTACTTACAAAATCCAATGAATGTTGTCCATAAAATCTTAGGGGTAATTAAGTATTTTCTTGCAAAATCTTATTTGTAGATAGGTATCTAAGGGGTGCAATGAAATTTTAATTTTTTTAAAATCCTTCTTTGATATAAAAACTCTCTAGGAGTCCTTAAATGATATTTTCCCTAATAAAAGTCTTTTCTTGGTTAGAAAAATATGTTAAGAGTAGAATTTTTCAATAAGATTGTAGATATCATGAACATTTAATTATTTAAATGCATTATTAGAATTCAAAGATGTATTCAATCTAGGATGCTTTGTTGACTGTTCATCAAATCTACTATTTATTTCTTTTAATTGATAACCAATGACAAAAAAAAAATCAACATGGTAATAATATTTAACCGTAATAAGCAAGGTTGTTAAACTCATAAGTTTAAGTAAACTAATGATAGGAATGTAAACTCGTATAATAAACTCGAATCTTAAACTCATAAAAGTTTACCTCTATTAACTATAGCCATTAAAATATGATTGTAATTTAATTTAAATATATTAAAAATATAAATCATTAAAATTAAACTCATTTACATTAATAAATTATCATATACAAGACATAAAAAATTTTAAAATAGGGGAACTTATTTTTTATTTTTTTCTTTTTTATTAATATTAATTTTTTGCATTTAAAGTTTTTTTCCTTTAAATCAGGTCTTATAATTTTTATGAACTGAAATTTTTTGTAATATATACTTAATTAGTTCAACTCAAAAAAAAAATTGACAAACTTAACAAGTTTAATCAAGTTTGCATTTAGTCCGAATTTATAAATTAGTTGATATAATTTTATAAGTTAGAAATATA